ACCACAAAGTCGGTCCCTGGACCAGGGCATGACGCATCAAATACTTCAGAGGGCACCCAGAAGTCAAGATGAGCTGGATCATAAGTCACCAAGAGGTCTCAAGCCGTATTCGAGGTCATCAGGGGTCAGGTCACTAAGTCACCTGAATTCAGAGGTCGTGAAGCTATTGATCATGGATATTATTTGACGGTGTCAGCACTAGCAGCGATGGGAAGAGTGAAAGGGACTGTGTGGGTTCGGGTCTGGAGGAGGGCGTTGGTTGCTGAATCGAGTCGTGCAGAGGGCATGCTGGGTGAGCTGATTTGGGTTGAGGCGCAGGATAAGGGCGTGGTGCTCTGTGTTTCGCGCGGTTGGCTGTCAAAACACTCATCCAGTTCCTGATACCGCGCTCGGATGTGTGCAATGCCTAACTATTTGAGTAATGATAACTGCGGTTAACATGACATGATAGGTACTGCAACAGTTAGCTACTGAAGCTCGGTTGGGATCAGAACGTGTGCACTGGTCTCTGGATGGGACAAAACTTGGGACGGACAGGACGGTACAGGCCAGGGACAGAACGGGACGGAGCGGCTGCTACCTACAACGCTCGCCCACCGCAACAGCGCTCGCGCCGCTGAGGCACCACGGCTCACGAGCGCTTTCTATCACCGTAGTGACGTCACTACATGACGTCACGGCGTCCTTTGGATGTAGTTTGTGTATATGACGCCAGGTGGCAGAGGCCGCACGCCGGAAGTTTCGGACGTTCGACTCAACACCGAGCGGGACCCGCCCACCGCGCGGTCCCCCACCGGCGAGCGGTGACCGGTGTGACCGGCGGACGCGGAGTGCCCGACGGACCATCGTTTGTTGTTATAGAGAGGCATTGTGCCGAGGTCAGTAGAATGACAACTCGACCGCTGAGGCCCGATCGGATAATGTCGATACCGAGATGTGCTGGAAATTTGAATAACCGTTCAAATGCTACATTTTCTCAACCCTAGGGAGGTAAAAATATCGACGAGTGCGTCCCTGGACTCCAAAGTAACGAGAAAATAGGACACCAATGAGCATATCAGACCCGGTCACCAATCTTTCAACATTTGTGGTTGATGTATTTGTCATTTCATTAACCTTCGTAATGATGAACGAAATTTTAATTTGCAGCGAACTGTTGACCTTAGCAGCAGAAGAAAGGTTAGATAGAACTGAGAGTCCACCGCCTCAAATGAGTGGCGCAGATTGCGACGAAGGATCCCAGTTGGGACTTACTCAATTCCTCTTTACTCCTTAGCATAATGTTCTGCTCTGAGGTCATCGACATTCATAAATAAAATCAATACATCGATTTATGTTTATGCTTACCAGTATATGACTTGTTTGGAACGTAAATAATATGTACGTCTATGTAGGGGAGAGTGGGGTAATTTGGCCGGTGGTGTAAATTGGCCGCCCCCACCTGTACGAAAGCTGATAAAAGTGAATGAAATAACTTTAGTCTCTATTCATTTGTCATCGGCAGAACTAACTCGAGAACAAATGTCAAAATTTTCCCCCTCTTAGTTTTATTCAAAATTAATAAAAGGTGAATTTCGTTAGAAAATGGTAACTTTTACTTCCATTTAAAAATTTGTATAACATATAGTATTTGGGCTGTAAACGAATTCCAACATTATAGCGCCATTTTTAGGGTGTTCAGCGGTTCCAAGAGCAATTTCATCTAGTTCTGTACAGCCATGACGACTTTATAGCAGGGATGCGGAGCCGGAGCCGGAGCCGGAGCCGGAGCCGCCGGAGCCGGCATATTTTGCCCGGAGCCGGAGCCGGAGCCGGAGCCGTGAAACAATATAGCCCGGAGCCGGAGCCGGAGCCGGAGCCGTCAAAAAAAGGGGGCGACTCCGGCTCCTTTTCTTACGAGGAAACAATTATTTACCTAGTTCGGTTTGACAGTACAAGGCGCAAAACAATGTGGTATTCAAAATAGCTGTTTATACAAATACAGAAGCAACGTGTACCAATCCCATCGCCTTTTTTCTTCCACCCGTATTTAATTGATCGCATAGGAGATGTACTGAGTAGAAGCCGGAGCCGGAGCCGCCGGAGCCGGATCATTTTACTCGGAGCCGGAGCCGGAGCCGGAGCCGCAATGACATTTCACCCGGAGCCGGAGCCGGAGCCGGAGCCGATTTTTTTCTCCGGAGCCGGAGCCGGAGCCGGAGCCGTCTGAAATTTCCACGGCTCCGCATCCCTGCTTTATAGACAAAAATTTTCAGAATGGCAATGTGGGGTTATTTGGCCGGGACAAGCGGGGCAACTTGGCCGGTGCGCTCAGAGTCACTATGCTGGGACGGCCGAGTTGTCATGGTCAATTATACCATAAAGGGCATAATTCATGACCAACTTTGACTACCTTGATGCCATATTTCCTATTGGACAGCTGTAGGGGCATGTGACGTCATCAAAGGTTACCTAACGCTTTTTGCTAATAAATACTTACAGAAAAAAGATACAGCCGCGCAAATGGTCTCATTGTGTTCAGCTCGTCAAGGCGCATCGAATGATATACATGATGACCTTGAACTCACGTAACCTTGAGGTCAAGCGACCTGAGGTAACGTGACCTGAAGCCAACCTTTGACCTTGACCTCTCGAGGTCAACACATACATGTTTCGATGCGGAATGACGAGAGAATTACGATGGTACTTTTAGTTTTGGCCTAGCTTGATTACTTCAAAAGCTATTCGTAAAAAAACTGTCATCGCATATAGAGCCGCTATTTTGACTATTTTCGACCCCTGTGACGGCTGAGTCAACCTCCAAAATGCTTCAAATGCGTCGTAGGACACGCGTCATTGCTGAATGTGAAGCTGACTGGCCTATAACAAAAATCATGGCCTCAAACTAACACCGGCCAAATTGCCCCACACCCCCGGCCAAATAACCCTGCTAGTGGGGCAATTTGGCCGCTTTGCAGACCTTTGTAATGCGTCACAATTTCAATATAAGTAGTTACTCTATCATGTCAAGTTTACTGTCCAAGAAAGTAAAATGTATGCCACACCTGTCAGCGTTGAGAAAATGCAGAAATATGTTGTCGATTTTTAGTTACATCGTTTCCTAAAAAAAAACGGCCAAATTACCCCACTCTCCCCTAGTTTATTATTAAAACGTCTCATTAACGCACGCAATATTCGTGCCTACAAGAAAGCGATAAATAAACAGAGAATCAATAGTTCGTGATCCGCTTTCGTTACTTCATCAGATGAGCTACTTTAAAACGTTATCTCACGCCAGAGCTATGATGATGAATCCATCGAAGGTACCAAAGCAAGACAACGATAAAAGGCACATGTATCTATTTGTAGGTAGGTACTAGCTAAATGGACCACATGGTAGTTCCTTGCATGATTAACTAAAAAAGAAAGCAATTAGATTCAGTGCATGATAAGCTAAAAAAGATAACAATAAAGTTCATCACCCAAAAGGGGTTGTGTCTCTCAGCCGCATTCTAGAAATAACATTCACTCTGTCTGCAGAGAATCTACATATTTCAACAGCAGCTTTCGCCTAAAGTACATTTGCGTAAAAATGTTTGATAAATAGCTAAAACAAATGGTAGGTGGGGTTAAAAAAGTCTTCCTGTTTTCTGTTGACGTTCTAACTCACACAGTCCCTCTAATGTACTGGAACTGCATATTTAAACTTGTTAATCGCTGTTAAAGCGGAATTATGAGCGGAATTAAAGCGGAATCACCTCACGCTCGGAATTATGTTGATAAATAGGTAAATAGCGCAAGCGATTCTTCCTTGCGATAAACGTAAGAGCGTCATGCCATAAAAATCCAATTCATGAATTAATACATCCATCAAACAAGCGAGGAAATCAGAAAAGACGGTCAAATGGAACTAGAAACAACGGAAATTTATTAATAAACCTATCTCAGCAATGTGCCTATGACTTCTTTAGCACCAAACACATACAATCGTCCTTACGAGTAATGAAATATGTAAAAGCTAGAAATTAAGTGCACTTTTGATGCCATAATAATTGTAACTTGGTGGGATAGTGTTTCCAAATAATGAAGAATTTAAGTCACAAAAAACATACCTAAAATAACATATAGGAGGCTCAAAATGTTTTATAAAGGAAAAGAAGCAGGTATCATTGCTATATCAATGCATTCAAAGATACGTCTGACCTCTATCGTTGCTGGAAGCTCTTGCTACATTGCATCTCTTCAGGGAAATGCTCTAAGTGACAGCACCAGAACTTCATACTGGGTCAACTAAAACAGCAAAGGAAGTCGTTGTTCGATAAATTCGTATCATTTCAACAAATACGTCGTTCAATGAGAATCAAAGTCTTTAATTTTAGCCTCTAAACCCCCTAACGATGCCTGTGTTTGAGCACATGCCGCCGTTTCTGCCGAGTTCCCTGCCGCCGCCTGGTCGGCCAATCTTACCAGCAGCCGCCTGCGGAGAATGAGATAGACTGTGCCGCAAAACACGCCAATCGGACTCGTGAGAATCGCGCGACAGGCGTGGGAAAAGTGCAATTTCTAGGACAAAAACTAACAGAAGTCGATCAAATTTGGACTGTTTGACAAGCTGGAACGCTGCCTTGTGCTTAAAAAGCTTAAAATTCACTCCAGATTGAAGAAAAGAGCCGTCAAGCTGATTGAAACACGCAGGGCCCGTTGATGTCTCAGGGAAACTAGTAAAAGAAGTGCCGTTTTAAGTGTAGATAATCATGTTATTTGAAGAGATTTGACTGAAAATCACTTCAAATGGTCAAAACGCTCAAAATATTCTAAGCTCCGAAAATAAATTGCATTTACACATCACGATAGCTTCGTACAAAATCACATTACACACGAGAAGACGTCAAAGAACCACACACAGAGCCGTTTGACATGACTAATGTAAAGCTCGCTGAGTGCAGAGAGTCAATGTTTCATCTCGGCGGTACAAATTTTCAAAACACCCGACCTCAAAAACCCCTCCCAACCGAACTCACGTGCTCAAAATCAGACGTCTTCCACCAGGCGTCGCCGTCGTCGCTTCCCGCGCCGCCGAGCCGTCTTTTGGCGCGCCCCGGACTGGTCCCGCCTCTCCAGATGCTGACGTCACAAATAGCCTCCGGTCAATCCGGGCATTTAAACCCAACTCCAAGGCCATTAAAGACCAGCTTTTCCTTAGAAAACGCCTCTAGCAGCACTTTTTGGACCCTGAGGCCCCTCAGGCGGTCCCCAGGGGTGACAGGGGTCCCCGGGGCCTCCAGAAAAGTCCAAAATACCCGGACAGCTGGCCCGATCAGCGGTGACCGGCGGCGTGGCCACGCTGTCCAGCTGAGCTCACCAACTGGCCGCCATGTTGGCTCCGCCCGCACTGGAAATCAATGCGCCACTGTGCGCCGGCGCGGGCCGCCGCCCCTGGCACCGACTGACACCCTCTGTCGCACAGCACGGCGAATCGACAGTGCCTGACAGGGGGAGACCCACACACGCACACACAGAGGTGGAGGTAACCCAGTTATGGCTCCGACCGTGGGACCGCTCCCACGCCTCCAAAACCACCTGTGAGTGCGCACAACCGAGGTGTGACCCTCTCCTCTCCATCTGCCCCCATTGAACGAGACAGTCCTCTATCCTACGACCTAACAACCCCACTGTCCTAACCGACCACTGTCCTCCAATTCTCACCTGGTTCTCTGTCCTCTCGCCGGCCCTCTCTCACAGATCCGCTCGCCGCCAGCTCACCGCAATCACTGCACCGCTCTCGGCCGGCGGCCGCCGCGCCGCGGCAGCAGACGGTCGGGCGGAGGCCAGCGGAGGGCGCGAACCGCTGGGAACCCAGCCGCCCGGGTCGGGGACGGCCGACCCGGCGGTGGGACGGTGGGAACTGGGACCGGGGACGTGGGACAGCCTGTCGGAGGTCCAGGATGGACTCCGTACATGGGTGGGGAGAAGTGTGAGATGCGGGTGATCCACTTTTGATTGTGAACGCTTTCTGCGATTGATGAGAGTAACTATAGCAGCGAAAATTCATCTCTGAATTTCGATATTGCAGACCTAAGGTCAGGTCAATTTTGCGACCTCTAAGTCAACGGGAGATAATGGAAATGCGTCTCTTTTGGAGGAACGTCACGCTAAACACTCTTGATCAAACATCCGGTAGCAGATAAAAATGACACATTGAATCGGAAAACTACACCCGTGACCTTTCTTTATGCCCCAGAGGTCATGGGTCTCCACAGCTTCTAGCAAAACAATAGAGACCGATGCTAGACTGTGAAAACACCCTAGCTGGGTTCAGCTCGACGGCACAGATCGACTGATATCAGACATGACCTTCTCCATTCAGGTCATGACCTTGACCTTAGGGTCACATTTTAAAGTTGACCTTTTTAGGTCACATCACGGTTCGTTCGATGTGTCTCGATGAGAGGAACACTGCACTCGTAAAATAAATATGCGTGGTTTGAGTCTTATTGAAAAAAACGTTTTTCGTAAAAACGCCAAAATTGGCAGTTTCTGCGTTCTAGAGGCTAAACCGTAGATCTTAGGTCATATCTGAGATCAGTACCTATACAGAAAATATATCCAGAATTAAGAAAGAGCGTTAACTCGCGCCGCGCTTTCTCGGGAATATCTAAAAATCGGTGGCTGTTTTTGGTAAACCTTATCCCGGCAGTTGCTGGGGTATTTCGCCACCCACCGTTTGCTGGGGGGGGGGGGGGGGGGCGTTAAACGCCCCCAGCCGATAACTCGAGAACCAATAGGCGCAGCGAAACGCACGAGGCGGCAAACGAAAGAGCGCGACGAGACGCTTCAGATGAGTACTTTAAAGTTGAGTTTTGAGGTCACAGGTCGGGTCAAGGTCAGGTCAAACACCTGAAATCGGCCTTTCAGTAGCATGGACTTCAGGACTTCGCAATGGGCGCCTCTCGTCATAAACTCTGTCAAAATGGTACACAATCCATCGTATAAGGCCTACAAGAGTGTCAGCTCCATGTAGGGGTCAGTCAAGCATAGGTCAGGGTCAAGGTCAGGTCAACCGGGTAGGCACATATCCCCGAAAATCAAAACTGATATTCGCAGCCCGTGACACATGTTTTATGGGTAATTTGGGGCGTAGAACACGATGGTGACATTCATTTTATCATATGTGTACGTGTTTAGCTAAAAAAGTTTAATTTAAGAAATGCATGTATCATAGTCGTGAAGTAGTCACGAGAAATTGTCAAGATTCAGTTCAAGATTTTGGAAAATGCGGAACGATAATCAATAATCGAAGATAGCCATTTGATTGTTCATGGTATTGGCAGTCTAATGGCGTTCACGGCATGTCTGTATGTCTATTCTGTGATTTTATATGATTTTTTGAACATACGCCGTTTTTGGTCGAAAATTCAAAAATCATGACGTCACTAAAACCTCGATATCTCAAAAATGTTCCGACCGATTTTTTTGAAACTTTGTCACAATAAACTTCAATCAATTCCCTACAGGTACCCAAAATTTGGCGCGCCTGCGGCGCGCCGTTTTTATGCTATGGCCCGGCGAAAAAAGTGGGGGCGTTTAACGCCCCCCCCAGCAACTCGCGGGTTATCATACCTCTTTTCTGCACATTTCGTTATTATCTTGACCAAGATCTCTCAAAGTCAGGTAATCACTTATCAGGTCAGTTCAAGTGACCTCACCTAACAATGAGTTCCAATGCTTGCTAAAGCTACACCGAGTGACGGATCGCTTTAAAACTTTAAGCAATTCATAAGGGCGAGAATGCGTAAAACATGTATGTATTTCACATAATTGGGGTTTTGGTGACCTAGTGTCAGGTCAACTTTGTGACCTCTCCATTGTAAGTCAATGGGAGAAAATTGAAAGGCGGCTTTTCGGACGAAAGTCATTCTAAATACTAGGAGACATCGAGTTGCAAGTAAACATGACACACTGAGCCAGAAAATGGCAATGTTCCTGAGGACACTCAGATTACGAAAAACATGTAACAGTTTTTCGCTAATACTTTTGATAGAGGCATGCTAGGCGATGCAAACACCGCAATTGTGTTCAACTCGACGATACGGATCGACTGATATGCAGCACGACCTTTCACGGTCAGGTCATGACCTCGACCAGAGGTCAAATTATAGTTCATTCGATGCGTCACCACGAGAGGAACAATATGCTAGTAAAAGTAACATTGTACAAGATTTGAATCAAAAGCTATGACAGAAAAACCTTTTCCGTAAAAAAAACGTCTGTTTTGGTAGCTTATGCTCCTGAAGGCTAAACCGTTGATCTAAGGTCAAATCTGACACCGTGTTAGCGAAAGAGCGCTAAAAGAGCTATCCAATGCGCTTTTCTACGGCGCTGTTGTTCTGTCCCTTCCTGAGCTATGCGCCGGTTTGTCGAAAATTGTCGAAGTTTGCGGTCAGGTCACTAACCTACGACGTCATAAGTGCACGGTCATAGTGCACGGTCTGCACGGTTCTAAAATGTCGCTGCTTCGCAATGCCCTCATTCCTCAAAGTCAGAGGAGCTTTCACAGGAAGATGAACTTACAGGACCTGTTATCCTTCAGAGACCTCATAGCTTGTAGGTATACCCATTTCATTTCTTCCTTAATTAACTTCACCTTAGGTCAGGTCAGTCGCGTGACCTCGTTATTAGCCGTTTTCACGACGGTCATCTGGTACACATTTGGCGCACATTTTGTGCAGATTAGGTGCAGATTTGGTGAAATTAGGTTCAGTGTATCTCTTAGTAGCTATCAGCTAGGGTCGCGCTAATTGCGTATATGCCTGCTTTGTCATACTATCAGAGAGTGTCATCGATTAAAACACTGAAATAAATTCATAAAATAAAGATATTCGCTGTAAAAGAGATTAGGTGCAGATTTGGTCAAATTAGGTGCATTCGCCGGATAGCCCGTCGTGAAAACGGCTAATAACTCCCGATAAAATTGAACTAGCGAAAACTCGACACCAATGAGCCCACTAATGAACTCGATAACACCTGCAGAGGCCTCGACCATTTTTGTGACCTGGGTGGGTCTGACCTGACCTTGAACCGAGGTCAACACCCTAAGTTGACCTCACCTAAGCAATAAGTAAATCATTCGACGCGCCTGACATAGAGAAGACGATGATGGTGCCAAAATCGCTGCTCTGCGATATTTATTTTTGATAAGTTGTCATCGAAAAACCGATTCCATACCTTTTGGTACTTGACCTGACCTCAGAGGTCACCGGCTAACTCGAGCTTAAAATCGGGTAGGTACCAGTTTTGGCGCCTCGTAACGGCCCACACGCTCTTTTTCTGCAAGGCTCTGTAGCTAAATTGGGGGGCGAAACAGCTAGGGGGGTCGTTCCCAGTCCCTTGGAACTAACCCGCGCCCCACTGGGGTCTGAGTATAACGCGCCTCACGGGGGGGGGCTATTCATAGCCCCCTCCTAACCCCGAAACTACTGACCGATTGTCAAAATTCAAACGGTGTCTGATAGCCCCGGAAAACTGCCAGTTGAAACTTAATTTCATCGATCTCGAGGCCATCGATGCCGTCACAGGTCAGGTCAAAGTAAAAATTAACGATGTTTGGCTTGTTCACATTTTGGGCTCTGGCCGCCGGCTTACAAGTCAAATCAGACTCAATCTTGGTTTACACACTCGTTAATAGATGCTTTAGATACCCTGAGGGTACGAAACTTGTGCTTTGATTTTCAGGTCAGGGTCAGGTCATCACAGGTCACGGAAATCTTATATCATGCATCGGTCACGTGACACATGTTTTATGATCCATTTAGGCCATATATTTCGAATCCGGTGTCACTCGTGTCATTTGAGGCCATTTTTAACTTAACCCGCGCCGGGCCGGGGGGGGTGTTTGAACACCCCCCTTGCGGTTTTTCGCAGATATCTCAAAAACGGCGGCGCGGAGCGCCGCCGTTTTTGGCACACCGGTTCGTGCATCTTTTCCGCACATGTTGTGAAAATTTCAGACCCAGGTCACCTTAGGTCAGGTCACCAGGTCACGCCAAGTGACCTCACCTCAGAAAAAAATAAGAATGCTCGTCATAGCTACACCGACTGAACGATTGCCTTGAAACTTTCAGCGATTGATAAAAGCAACACTATCTATAAAATTGTATATTGTTCATTTTGACAAATGTTTACTTTAATGAAAAACAATATTAAATTCTTATCTGTATTCAATGTAAACGCGTTTCGATTATTTCTTTATCAATACATTGATACAATACAGATAATGAAAAAGACATTGACATTGAATCGTGTGTTTTCATTATCTGTATTGTATCAATGTATTGATAAAGAAATAATCGAAACGCGTTTACATTGAATACAGATAATAATTTAATATTGTTTTTCATTAAAGTAAATATCTATAAAATGTTTATCTCGGAATTTTGATATCGGTGACCTAAGGTCAGGTCAATTTTGCGGCCTCTCCATTATAAGTCAATGGGAGAAAATTGAAAAGCGTCTGTTTTGCACGAACGCTATTCTAGACACTCTCAAACATCGAGATGTAGGTAAAATAGACACACTGAACCAGAAAATGGCAACTGTGACCCCTCGTTATGTCCCCGAGGTCATCTCAGGTCACGAACAGAATCTAACAGTTTTTCTATGATAATTTCTGATAGAGGCGTGCTAGAGCGCTGAAAATGCCTTAGATGTGTTCGGCTCGACGTTGCAGATCGACTGATATGCAACATGACCTTTTCCGGTCAGGTCATGACCTTGACCTGAGGTCAAATTTTCAAGTTGCCCTTTCAAGGTCAAATTATAGTTCATTCGACGCGTCTCGACAAGAGGAACACGATGCTGGCAAAAGTAATCTCATAACTCTTTTGAATCAAAAGTTATTGCCGAAAAAACGTTTTTCGTAAAAACGGCTATTTTTGGAGTTTTTGCCCTCTGGAGGCTAAACCGTTGACCTGAGGTCAAATCTGGAACATTAATCAGAAAGGTCTGTAAAAGGGCTATCGAATGCGCTTTTTTGCGGCGCTGTAGCTCTATCGGTTCCCGAGATAGCCGTTGGCAGTTTCCAAAATGTTGAAATAGTCAACTTTTTATCTTTGGTGACCTCTGGTGACCTGACCTTTGACCTGACCCAAAAAATGACCGAAGTCTTTCCGTCCTTATTTTTGACGTTCTTTCGACTGCCGCTTACCGCGTGTCGCTACGTGGCCCAGGAGCCGAGTTAGAAGGGGGGGGGGGGTGTTCAAACACCCCCCCGCGGCCCGGCGCGGAATCTCAGAGCACCGGCCCGGCGCGGGTTAATATAGCTAAGGTCAGGTCACTTTCAGGTCAAAAAGGTTAAATTTTAAAGTTAACATTTCTCAACCAGAAAGATGTATATCGAATTAGATGCAGTTGGAGCTCAGGAACACGATGGTTCTATTCATATTGCTGTGCGATCTCAAATACCTACCTACGTACTGTAAAATTGATTTGAAAAATTTATGATAGGATCCTTTTTATTACCTATATTACGTTTTGGCCACCCCCGCATGGGACGCGGGCTAATAGGTCCGGCGAGGGTTAAACGTTTATTAATTGACGTGGATAAGTATGATGAACATATCGGTACCAAAATCGAGGTATTTCGACCATAGTTTTGCAAAGTTATTTAGTCAAAACCGGACTCTAGTTACCTTAGGTTCTTTGACCTGATTTCATAGGCTATTGAAGACGGTTGAGCCGAGATAATAAAATCGGGTAGGATATACCAGTCGCTACGCCTTATAACGGCGCTCACGATCGTTTTTTTTTTTCTGGCCTCTAGCCCGCGCCCTGGTGGGGTCTGTTTATAACGCGACCTGGTGGGGGGGGGGGCTATTTTTTGCCCCCCTTCTATCTCCGAAACTACTGGACGGATCCGCAAAATTCAAACGGGGTTCGAAAGGCCTGTCAAATTTGTCGAAGGAAAGCAAATTTCATTGACCTCGGGGTCACCGATGACGTCACAGGTCAGGTCAAAGATGAAATGTTTCACCGTTCACGGGTCTACTAGGGAATGCGCTACAACACCGAGGAAAACGCATTTTGTCGAGAATCAGCGATAGGGCGTCAGTTGCCTAGTAGATATGTTGCTATTAGAGGTCACTGACAATACCAGGTCAGGTCACAGGTCAGGTCACCAAGGGTCACAGGTCAGGTCACATGAACCCAACTTTACTTAGGTTGTGTGATGCATGTTTTATGGCCAATTTTTCATTTTCAACTCAATGGTGTTGGTTATAAGACTATCAGGTACGGCTTAGGTTACTTTCTGGTGAAGGTCAGGTCAACATCAGGTCAAGGTCAGGCCAAAAAAGGTCAAATTTTAAAGTTGATAGTTTTGCATAAAATGAGTATTGATTCGATGCAGCTCGTCACGGGGAGTCTAATGGTGGTCTTTGTTTTGCGCTACGGGGTCTAGAATTGCTAAAAATTGAGTTTGAAAATTTGACGTCATCAATTTTGAACAGTTTTTTTCGCTATAACTTCTAAAAAAAGAGGTATCAATCTAAAATTTGGTATGCGGATGGAAGGTGGTAAGGACTATCACATATACTCCGGTTTTGCGAAATTCAAAAACTTTTGGGATTTTTCGACTATTATATCACAAAAATCTATTTTTTGATTTTGGGGGTAAAAATCAAAAACATTCAGAAATCCGAGATAGCAATTTTGTAGCCCTGTCAATTCTACAGCTTTTATGTTCTTATCATTTTTCTGTATTTGCAAAGCTATAGGCCTGACAGCTCTTCCTGCGAAACCCTTTTTTGGGTCGAAAACGGCAGAGCATGACGTCACTCTGACGTCATTTCCGGCCAACCTATCATAGCTTTTGGAAAAAAATTGGTCACAATGTGTAGAATTGATGTCCGGGAGGGTACTGAAAGTTTGATGACGATCGGCGCAGCGGTTCTGGAGATATATCGAAAAGTCTGGAGAGGGGGGGGGGCAAAAAATAGCCCCCCCCCCACCAGGTCGCGGGCTAGAATAATCAGGGTCGAAATGAAATGGCTCGGGTACGGGCCGCTAGGCTTCCTGCGGCCGGCACATATGTGGAAGACCGATAAGTCCGGCGAGGGTCACACTCACGACAATCGGTAACCTTACAGGTAAGGTTAGTAACCAAATAATCGAGTTTTGCTTTTGACGAATAGTTCCGCAAGACATGATCGAAGTCGGTAATACCTAACGCTACGGCGAGAATCATCGTTCCTCGGTGAACAATGAATATAACTAATTTTCCCGTGCCCACGTCATGGGCCTTCGTAAGACCAAGGACGAGCGAGTGAGTGATAATTGCTCATCATTTCGGGATGTATTCGGTCAGGCGTTACGAATTCGACTAAATGGCTGTTTACGCGTGAAACGCATTCCTGGATGATGTGTGATGAATCACGACGGTCTATGCTGGGAAGTAGGTACGTACCTTGGATATGAAAGCGCTGTGACGTGACTGAAATAATTACAAAGTAAACGAAAATGAGTCGGGTCAAGTGCCAAAAAGTAGATTTTGACTCAACGGCCAGGTAGTCAAAATAGCATCTTTCTCTTGTTCCCAGCAATCCACCACCCTTTGCCCACCGCCCAGGTCTACCGTCCAGTGCGCACCGCGCACCATCCAGTCCACAATCCACCGTTCACAGTCCATCGCCCACCATGATACCATCCACCGTCTACTAGCCGTCCTCCGTCCACCGTCCATCGCCCACATTCCAATCTACCAACCACCGTCCACCGTCCATCGCCCACATTCCAATCTACCAACCACCGTCCACCGCCCACATTCCAACCTACCAACCACCGTCCACCGTCCATCGCCCACATTCCAATCTACCAACTACCGTCCACCGTCCACCGTCCAATCCACCAACCACTGTCCACCGTTCACCGTACACCGTCCACATTCCAACCTACCAACCACCGTCCACCGTCCAATCTACCAACCACCGCCCACCGTCCACCGTCCTCCTACTGCCTTCTTTCCTCTTTCGCCATGCTCTCCCTCGCTCAGCCCCGGCCAGCCAACCACCAACAATGCATCCTCCACTCGGAAGAAAGACCTCAGTCACGACACCACTCACTACTCACTTCTCACAACAGTCCCGTGACCTACCTGACATCGGCTCACCGTCCTGAGGAACGAAAATCAGCGCCGAAAGACGCTGACAAGGCCTCTCCTGTCGAGAGCTTTCAGCGGTGCGGAGCGTGTCATTCAGATTCGACTGTTCGTTCTCACGGCGCGGTCGCTCATTCAGTAGCGATTCGCCGTTTCATTCGGCTGATTTTGTCGGCTCGGTCGGTTCGTTGTAGTGTCATGCGGCGGGACGGACTGAACGGAAGTTGGTCGCGCGGTTTGGTGCGCCCGGCCCAGCCCTGTACGGTTGACCCAAAAAGGGGCTGGGGGCGGGGGAGGGTGCTGGGGAGTCGGCCGGGTCAGCTGTGTGTCGCATGTTGGTTTTCTCAGTTTCTCAGTGAATGGTTTGCCCGTTTAGTGAGCAGGTACCGTAGCAGACGTGTCTGAAGAAACTGGTCGCGTAAAGAACAGAGGCATGAAGCACCGCCGAAGTTGGCACGCCCCATTTGGGATCCCTTTGATACATTTCCTTTCAAATTCCAGCACCAGTGACCTCAGATAAAGACACTACATATTGAAATCCTGCAAACCTATAACCGCCGTAATGTTGACCGAGGGGTATTCTCCTCAGCCAATGCCCCAAGTTGAAGTGCTGGAGCGTCACCTACATAATAACCGGCGGCGACCGTGCACTGCTGCCCTCTACAATGTGCTCAGTCCACCAACCATGCTGGAAGATCGTAAAAGAAGTGATGCTCAAATGTTCAGTGGTCTCACTGCATTCCTTCAATCCACGAAACTGATCTCAGATACCTGCATCCTTCAATAAATGGCTACTGGCTCACCACAATTATTTGCTCGCCATTGCGTGGCACTCACTATATAAAATGCGATACGATCAACGGCTAATTTCTAATGCTTATTGCACATTCTCATCCTTTGCTAAATAGATACTCCGGCAATCATCCTAAGCTAAAAAATAATCCATAGTTGAATTCGAACATCGAAGCAATACAAATGAACTCGCTTAGCATCACAAATACCTCACATATCACTAGCGCAAAACACAAAACTCACCGGTTCAAACTCGTGTATTATCGCTCGAAACGCTTAAACGCCATCACGGCCTAGTATTAATAATGTGAAACCATCAGAAACGCGAGCGAAAGGGCGAGAGCGAATGCAGCGGGGCGCCCGGCGGCCTCGCCTGATGAAGCGACACGATCCAACGACATAACGAAGGACCGAACGGGAACGGCGGGGCGCACGCCGAGCCGCCGGCTACCGCTTGGACCTGCCGGCCTCCTTAGCTGCCTCCTTGGCTGTGGGTGGAAGGAAGCGGGCGTGAGCGTCACGGTCGTAGAAGAGAAATGCGGGGTCATTGTCCATCGTGCTCGAATTCCGGTGATATGAATGAGATGGGGATTCATGGGCTGAGATACAGCTATAGTTTTTTTTCCTTTAAAAGGACTCTGGCTCCAAGTTCATTATCGAAGTTGTCACGCGAATTTTGGCAGCTCCAGCGTCTGGCCAATAATTTCTTACCGCAAAAATATTGTATTTCATATTGTGCTCGGTAAGCACCTGGAAAAATTGTCTTAAAAATGAGCATACTATGATGACATTGCGCCCAGATACTGAAAGAGGAAAAAGCCCGGAAACCTTTAAAGTAAAGCGTCACATAAAGTAAGACATCGGCGAAAGCTAGTTAAAGGGACCCTCCCAGCTTAACATTAGATTTGAGTTGAGATAGCCAAAATGGGGTCCCTGGCTCACAATTACCGGTTTCGGCACTCACAACATCGAGAAATGCCTTAAATCAGAAATATTGAATTTCAAAATTGCAGCATTTTGATTCAGAGGGGCTAATGCTTAGGAATACTCCTCTGAATGTGTGACGTCAGCGCATATATCTAACGATTTTTAAATGTTTGACTAAAACGTTTTCTAGCACGCGGTGGTATATGCTATTTGCGCGCAACATCTGCCGCAAACGCCGCACTTCTAAAATAAAGTCGCTAGAAACAGCGGAGATCTCAAAAAAGTAAACAAAAGTATAAGTCTAATATCTTGAAAACTGGTGAATATTTTTCGGTGAAATTTGGTAGATATTCGTTTTCGCTCTTTCTGAACCGAGCGACATCACTTTCATGCCAATTCATAAACTTTTTTGAAGGTGGGAGGCAGGGTTGTGCTCGACTCAAAAAAATTTGCCGACTTGACTCATCATTCAACTTCAGAAAGCCCTGACTCAACTCTGACTCAAACAAGGAGCTGATTTTTTCCCTTGACTCGACTCATGACTCAAGCGGCTCAATGAAAATATGAGTCGACTCAAACTTGACTCAAATTTTTTTGTTGAGTCAAGTGAGTTGACTCAAAATTGACTCAGATAAAAAAGCTGTTGAGCGGGGGGGGGGGGGGTGAAAAAGTCCGGCAGCAGAGCCAGGGCGAAGTTGTTAAGCGGGGGGGGGGATGAAAAGCTTGTTTCTGGAAAGTTGAGTCAGCTGACTCATGTTTCTAAATGTTTGACTCAACTCAATGTCAAAAGTCATTTTACTGACTCAACTCTGACTCAACTCAACGCCTTAATATTTTTGTCCGACTCAACTCTGACTCAACTCAACAGCTCAACAATTTATCCGACTCGACTCAAATCTGACTCATTTGAGTCAGAGTTGAGTCAAATTTCTGACTCGACTCATGAGTCAGGCACAACCCTGGTGGGAGGGTCCCTTTAATGCTATCGGTTGAAGCTAGGAGCAGTCCAGTCCATGTAACACAGCCCGAAACAGCCATAGGTCCCTAAAAAAGCATAAACATCAGGTCACAGCAGCACATTTCATAATAGTTTCGTCCCTTGAAACACAACAATCAATCTCAGACCGCAGCTCCAATCTCCCTATTTAAAGGTAGTGTGCCAGCTTTCTTGGACCGTATGGAGTTAATGGCCCAGATAAGGAGAACCGGATTTTTAGAACTTATCCCTACCTTCAAAACTCATGGAAACGTCTTAAATTCTTCAAATTTTGAGTACCCCAGTGCGAAATTCGCCCCGACGGGTTGTCGGTCGTACCCCAACCACATTTCACACCACTATGAACAATAAATGCACACACTGAAATCGCTATTACCGATATGCTCATCCAATCAAGTTTCGATAAACCCGTTCATCATCATCTCCTGCGGTTTCGAACACGCCTGTAAGGTGGCTTCTGATGCTCGTCGAGGTCGGAATTTCCAAATACGCGTGGTGCGTCGGGCCGCGCGCTCTGACTTCGGCCAAGAAAAATGCGTCAGCTGATCATTGTCATTTCTGCCACTTGCGTGTGGTGAAATGGGGTCATAACTTATAAGACGGCTTTTTCATATCAATTATTTTACATAAAATCATATTTCAAACCATAAATAATGTTCGACAGCCAAATAAAAGAAACAATACCAATACGGGCTTACAGTTTAAGGCTCGACATTGTGTTGTCTACGATTAGACAGCTGATAACTCATTCCCGTACGTCGTATGGTCGTAACACTATAATGACCTTTGCTTATTGTCACAAAAGCGCCGCATTCGCGATTGTTGCCCGACGCCTGTTTGCAGGTGAGCCCACTACAGTTGTTATACATATCTAAAAACCGAAAAACTTTTAGGCGAAAAAGGCACTATTCCAGGCCCATTTTTGATTTTTTTTTGCGATATTAGGTAAAAACAGAAGCTTCTTATCCTAGGAAAAATAAAATGGGAAATCTTTCAAAGGTGGCACACTACCTTTAATACACCATCCCATCATAACCTAAATAAACACTCACCTTTCTTCTCTTCCTCGCGCTTTTTGGCCGCCTCCTCCCTCTGTTTTCGGATGATAGCCAACCGTGCCAGGTCGGCCTGCGCCTCGGCCGTCTTACCCTGGGCGTGCAGTTTCTGATAGTGCTGCCGCGCCTTCTCCTTTTCAATGGCTTCCCTGTCGATGGCGTGGGGTCGGGGGGTAAGAGAGCGGGCACCGGGCGTACACAAGGGTATTCCAGCTGAAACGGACTTTACAGAGCCTTGGACTAGCCGCACATGACATCTGATACGTGCACGATGAGGGAAAAGTCCACAGTGGAGAATCAAACCAAGACAGAGAAGTTACGAACATGTCGCAGCCAGACTCTGAAACGCCTGGAACAATCGCTTCCGAGTCGTCGCCTCCACGTCAGGCGATGCAACACTTCAATGTCAAGTGTAACGACTCACATAAAAACACGACACAAGCCTTGGTATCAACATGAGCAAGCAAACGGCACATGGGTAGTTCATTTTAGGCCAATATTCGACAGAGTATTCGCATTTCAGAGACAAACTTTCGGGAAATTCGGCGTTTTACAACTCCACACGCCTGTGTCCACGGTCCCTTGGCAGATGACGACCTGAAGCTTGCAAAAGTTAGTGCATTTCTTCACGAATTTCAAGCACAATGGAGTGAATTTTGTATGCCTTTGTCAGTCACCGGCGTTTCGTAATGCGCCAGCGAGGGATGAAATTGTATGTCCATGTCTGCGGGAAATCGGACGTGAAATTGTATGTTCATGTCTGCAGGAAATCGGACGTTACGTCCGGCCAATCCCGTTCGATAACCACAGCCCAGCCCCCGCCGACTTTAAACGGCATTGGCCGGACGACGTAGAATGTTTTCGTCCGGGAGACTCCGAATCCGGGGGCAAATCTCCATCACTTGACATGAACACTGGAGCAGGCTATTATTTTCACTAAAAAAATCGCAGAAAATGTACAGGACATATCACTGCAAATGGTTCCATCACACGTTACCTCAGTAAGTCTCACAGCATGTGGGCATCCTGCTTGCTTTAGCTCCAGCAGGTCACAGTTAGGTGACCTGTCCATAACTCCCCCCCCCCCATGCCTTCCAGATCACTGTCCCTGTGCTCACCTCTCGCGGCGTGACAGTTGCTGGGGCGCCTTCTCTTCTACATTCAGCTGTGAGAGCTTTTTGTTACGCTGCTGCACACGGTTTGGGTTCTCAACTGAGACTGCAGGACCTTTTGGCTTGGCTGCCTGCTGCTGAAAAAATGGTCCTCTGTTAGCTAACAAGTCAGAAGAAACTGATAAGTTGGAAGGAAATACTGTAAACGGCTGGAGAGATTGCCAATAGGATACATTTACACAACGTTTGGCCATGGTGTCATGATTAGTCATGACATGACCGTGAACAACATCTGGAATGAGATTATGATTTGGTTAATACAGATGTGATGCAAGACAATTTTGATCAATCAATATAAATACTGAAGAGACATTATTGGTGATGTCTACCTTCTGCTCCTCCTCACTAGATGAGTCTGACTCTGAGCCAGAGCCTGAGCCGGACTCTGACTCCGACTCCTCTCCCCTCTTCTGGCGCCACTCCCGCTCTCGCTCCTCCCTCTTCTGCTCCTCTGCCAGCTGCTCAGGATTGGTGAACACCCGGTGCTTCCCCTTATGCTTTCCTGTGGGGAGGACAGTGTCTCATTAGTCAGAATGTCTCACTGAGAGTGTCTTATTTGTACGGAACAATAATGGGAACAGGGAATGCAGGTATAGTTCACTGGTGAGCATAGATAACTCATAACTGGAAAGGTCTCGCTTAAAACCACATCATGATCACCTCGAGCACCAAAATTACATAAAATCTGGGTGTACCAGCTGAAAAAACATGCACCCTGATATCAAAAATCAAGCATTCTAGAACAACATCAACATACAGATTATGGGTAAAGAATCCGATAGTATGATAGCGTATCAGTCAGATGTGTGGCCATCCAATTACTGCTTTAAATCTCAATGCTTTTCGTATTTTACTAACCCTTAGGCATGACGAAATTATTTCTTAAAAATAGTCTGATTATGTGACTTTTCCACCACTGAGCAATATGTTGATGTGAACAGTTTGGCCACTATCAGTTCACACAAGCTACTATATGATGTCGCAAAAATAAGTCTAATTATTATTGCCTTGCTTTGACCATAAACAAATGGTTCAAAGGAAAATTCACAAAATAACACAACCAATGCGATAGATAGGTATATTTTAGCATGCAATGCAAATGTGGCAAATACAATGCAAGGAATCGCGGAATAACAATAATCGTCAAAGATCGTCTAAAGAATGATCACACCACTCACTCAAGGATGAAGATAATAAACTGTGACGTCAATGGCTGCCAAATAGCCCAGAGCTGTAACATGGCTGTAGCCAGGATCTGCGCACATTTCGCAACTTTCGGCCAACTTTTCCCCAATTTTTGCAAGAATTTATGGATGATTAGAATGCCATCTGGCTTCAACGTACTCTTGAGGGTAAAAAATAGTTAGGTATAGTCGACGAGTTACCCAAATGCTCAAACCAAAATTAAAAAAGTAAATACCAAAACAAATATTGGTTTCTTGGCGAACTAAAAGGCATGTCTGCCAAAAGAGCGGATAGACTAGGGAGCCACAAGCACAAATATGGAAGCTTTCTTTCTTTTACGTGAACACGACTTTCAAGGTCCAGTTGGGATCGAGGCAGCTAAATACTTATGGCTGCGGTTAATTGATTACTTTGACCTCATAATATCAAAAATACGATGAATAATGACCCCGTTCGATCGTATATTACGTAACCGACTGGAAACATCAGCCTCAGAGGTGCAATCGTGTAACTCCGACGTCCTGGCGCCCTAAAATAGCATCACACTTATAAGCAATCAGCACATCAACAGGTAAACTTCCTTCAGCCTGCCTCAGCCATGCAACAGTTAGCACCGACATAGCGCATCGACTGGTGATTCTTTCGCTGCAGTGCCTTCCATTGAGCCAGACAGTGCTGCTCATTCGACATACATTTATTCAGTTGTCAGTTCTCAGCAAACCTAACCGAAAGGTGAAACCGGTGAGCCGCACATCTTTACAACGTAGATCCCACTTTTGCGGGTGGCTTCGTTCGAAGGTGGCCCCCTTACGCGTTTTGCTAGCCAAGCATGAACATAGGTACAGGTGCATCACCCGACTACTGATATTTCAGCACAAGGACCTACCACGAATGTACAGTCTGTCTTAAAAGTACCGCGCAAAGTAACAGTGGATCCATCAAGCCTGACCGAGGAAGGACTGCTGGATTTGAGTCACCGAAACAATGGATATCCTCGTCCATTCCCCAGGTCAATTGATTCGGTGACTTTCAAATTAACACAGGCCCTTCCTCGGTTAGGGTTGATGGATCCACCGTCACTTTGCGCGGTACTTTTAAGACAGACTGTACCCAAGGCAGACCATCATTGAAGACCGTACAGCCGTGCTCATTACTAGCAACTACAGCATCACCGAATGCGTAGGCCTGCGTCTTACGCATTCGTCGACATTGGCATACAAGCGAACCAGCGATGTAGCATTACCGTGACATATTTCCATTCCCAGACCTTTCGCTAGCCGGGAGCCTCGTTCGATGGACGATGCTACTGTTCAAACATGCATCGACATTGTCCCACATCGACCCTCATCACAATTCACAGCCCATATCAGGCTGATGGCATTAGCTCATCGATAGTTTGGCACAGCGAGTTCAAATTGTGACAGAACTTCTCGCAATTCCCGACCGCAACGCAAGGCACATTTGGAAATGAATCGCAGATTCATTACGGACACCTTGACTGGCCACAGCGACTAGCAGCAACTAAAATATATTTTAGTTGCGCAAGTGCGCAACTAAAATTGCGCGTTAACGATGTCCCGTTGCGCAAAGTTGCGCAAATGCGCAAGTGTACTTGCGCATTAACGATGTCCCGATAAGCCACTATCAAACTCCCCTTGGCACCTATATTCCACAATCCACATGCCATTCTGATAATGATTCTCTCTATGCTACTGATTCTCTTTATGTTTTCCATAAACGTGCCCCTCCCGTGCAGTTCCTCAGTGCAGTTTGAGCGCCTCGGCCACCGCGCGCACCCACACACCCACCGCATGAGCGGCCGGCGCCGGTCGGCCGGAGGCAGTCCGAGCGGCCGTCTGCTCCGCGGCCAGCTGCGCCGCCTCTGCCGCAGCCTCCGCGGTGCCGGTCCGCTCAGCGGCGTCTAGTGCCGGCTGCAGGGCGTCCAGAGTCCACCGCTGACCTGGTGGTACCGGTGACCAGTTCCTCAGGGCCTCTGTACCGCGCCGCAGCGCCCCCACCCAGTCGTCTGGGGTCTCGGAGATGGCGGCTGCTGCGGCCGCCAGCGCCAGCGAGTATTCCTCTCCAGGCAGACCTGCGGAGCGCTCACAGAGTTCGCTGAGGGAGGACAGCAGATCACTCGGTCGTGATAAAGGTAGATCGGGGAGCGCGTCCAGCACGGAGCGGCACAGAGCTGCCATCTGACCGCCGTATAGGGCGCTGCTGTCACTGGAGTCCCCACCACCCGACTCCAGACGCTCCATCTGGCCGGAGCAGGCCAGCAACGCACGTGCGGCAAACTCGACGCACCGCGAGAGTCGGCGAGCGACGCAGTCGTCCTGAGCACTACCACCGTCTCCTTCTGTCGACTGCGGCGCTCGTGGGAACACCACACGCGGCAGATGGTGAAAGTCTCGGGGAGCGGCAGAATACCTCCACCCAGGCGCCGAGGCGGACGCATCCAGCCACTCGAGCAGCTGCTCAGCGGTGACAGGAGGGACGCTGTCCCCCAGTTCCGGGTCACAGACGTTCAGCACGGTCAGCGACACACCGGACATAGCCAGGGAGGTGATGAGGCGGCCGGCGCGGCAGCGGACCACCTCCACGCCGCGCCGCCGCAGCTCCGTCACCGCGGCAGTCGTCACCACGCGCAGCTCGACGTCCGAGAGGCCGCCCAGACTGTTGACCAGCAGCGCTACCTTGCCGGAGAGCCGGAGAGAGACCGGGGACTCTGCGCTGGTCAGGTGATCCAGCATCATGGCGACGGCGCGGTCGGCGGTGACGGCCGGCACGCGGCCCACGCCCGCCTCCCCGTGGATCCCCACACCGATCTCCATGGAGCCAGACGGAAGGTCAAACGACGGCCCGACGCCCGGCTTCACACACGCAGACAGACTGACGGAGATGGTGGCCACCTGGTGAACCACCGCGCGCAGCAGCGCGGCCACCTCCGCCAGCGGCCGGCGGCCCTCCTCGGCACACGCGCCGGCCAGTTTCTCGATGAAGATGGTGCCGGCCAGGCCGCGCCGTCCGGCCGAGCGGTCGCGTCCGGTGAGCGCGCTGTCCTCACCCACCACCACCATCTCCACCGGCACGCCCTCTGCGCGCGCCCGCTCCGCCGCCAGTCCAAAGTTGAGCCGATCGCCGGTGTAGTTCATGACGATGAGCAACACTCCGGCAGGGGCCGCCACGGCGCGCAGAGTCGCCAGGATGGCGGACACGGGCGGTGAGGCGAACACATCCCCGCAGACGGCGGCCGTCAGCAGGCCGGGTCCCACCAGACCGGCGTGCGCGGGCTCGTGGCCCGATCCGCCGCCGGACACCACCGAGAAGCGGTGTGGGTGCGCGCAGCCGGCTCGCCACCGCGCCAGGTCACGGCGCACGATGACACGGTGGCCGCGGAGCCACGCAAGGCCTGGCTGGGTGGCCAGCAGGCCCTCCAGTGCATCATCCACACACTGGGATGGGGAGTTCAGCAGCTGAACAGTGGCCATGGTGACACTGCGGATCAACACAGCTGTGGAAACATAAAATGGGAGAAAATGATCACATGACTCAAGGCAAGCAGGCTTACAATAAGTACATAACAAAAGCTTCAAGCAAATCCAATGCAGTAGCGATCAATGCATCCCAACAATTGTTAGACACTGAATAACCAAGGTAACAGTGAATCTTGTTTTAAATAGAAATAGTAAGCTTTCCTACAAATCCAAGCCTAACTCCACCCTCTCCTCAAGCATAATTCCATTTTTGTGTGAATTTTAATGACAAATCACATCACCAATTGACTAATTATCTCATTTAAATAAAATCAACATGCATAGCTTATCCGAAACTTGACATCTTCAGCTGGAGCCAGTAGCCACTATTCAGGTGGTGGACGTGCCAAAAAATAATCAGTTTTAAAACCAGCTTACTACCGACTTCAGGGGTAAACTTGAACTACCTTTTGCAGTTGCAACCCCTAAAAACTGGAGAAATTCACAAAATAAATACATCAAAGGAAAGAGGACATTCTTGGTATTTATTTACTTTAGGCCCGCAAAACAGTGGGGTAAATAAGTCATTCACACGATACTCTAAGACCTCCTGATTTCATTTCTGATACTTATTCCTTCTAGAAACCAATTTAAAAGCACCAGTACACTAGTATCACCAGTATCACCACCAACGGCCCCACCTCCGACCGGAACTGCACGTGTCTACGCGGCGCACCCGCTGCAAATGGTCCAACCAAGGTTGAGCGAAATTACGGATGATAATAAATTGTAAAGAAAGTGATGTCAAAATAATTGAGGTGGAGCGGTGCAGTGCCGAAGGCAATGCCATAGGAGAGATTACAGGCAATGGTAAGTCAAATATTTTTAGGTTAAGTGGTTGTGTATCTGGCTTCAGGCCGAAGGCCTGAAGCCTGATGCATAACCACTTAACCTAAAAATATTTGACTTACCATTGCTTGCAATCTATTCATGCAAGTCACTTTTTCCTTTTCCCCCAGTAGGCAAACATCAGTAGGTCAGGTTAGGTAAGGTTTGGTTATGTTCTGATCATTTTCTCATCAGTTGACTAGGGCAAGATTAGCTTACCTACATTAGGCATGAAAAATATTGGGTACCTACATTGGCTCTTGTTCTCTAGGAATCTCGTATCTCTGAGTAAATTTACCTTTTTTCGTACAAAACTATCGAATAATATAAAAACAGTAAAAAAATTCATAACACGTATACCCCCATAGAAAAAAAACGCTTCAGTGATTTTGTCGCAGTAGCGCCGTTTTTGTCAATTACTTTTGCGGGCGTTGCGGGCAGCGAGGGCTGTTCACGACGTCGGTTTATCCCGTTTAATAAACCGTAAACATGTTTATTTTTTGAAGGACCAATCAGCGTCGACCTGATCCTGACGTCAAATCTTGTCAATGACGTCAGACCTCCGCCGTAAACCGTTTATGCGGTTGATGCTTTAGAGCATCAACATGGCGCGTAAACGCGTTTATGTGACAATGATGGCGATGTGCGGCAAACTCGTGAGGCGAGTTTTGTGAGTTAGGAAAATTGAATTCGGACAGTTCAGGCCTCAGGGGTCTGGTAGGTGGGTAAATGAGTTTCAACATAACCCTGCATGGGTTGCAGAGGACTGGAATGGGAGGTTTTATTATTTCATTGTAATTAAGACCTATTTTGAGCATCGTTCTCTGCTAACCAGCGTCTAGCGTCGTGGGTATTCTGTGATGAAAACTGTCCTTATTCTTGCAATATGTCATGTTATGGGACATATTTCCATCAGATTATCCTTTCTTTGCACCTTTTACAGTGTCTTCTCAACTGCTTATTAGTTGTCACTGTTTAAGTAAACACTCGTGTTTCGTAAACGTAAACGCCGTGTGACGTCACAGCCGGGAACGTGCCCCGAGGGCAGTTTATGTAAACCACATAAACCGACGTCGTGAACACATGTTTATTAAAGGGACCCTCCCACCTTAACATTAGATTTGAGTTGAGATAGCCAAAATGGGGTCCCTGGCTCACAATTACCGGTTTCGGCACTCACAACATCGAGAAATGCCTTAAATCGGAAATATTGAATTTCAAAATTGCAGCATTTTGATTCAGAGGGGCTAATGCATAGGAATACCCCTCTGAATGTGTGACGTCAGCGCAGATATCTAACGATTTTTAAATGTTTGACTAAAACGTTTTGCAGCACGCGGTGGTATATGCTGCTTTGCGCGCAACAAATGCCGCTGCACTTTCAAATAAAGTCGTTAGGAACAGCAGAGATCCCAAAAAGTAAACAAAAGTAAAAGTCTAATATCTTGAAAACCGGTGAATATTTTTCGGTGAAATTTGGTAGATATTCGTTTTCGCTCTTTCTGAACCGAGCGACATCACTTTCATGCCAATTCATAAACTTTTTTGAAGGTGGGAGGGTCCCTTTTTAATCCCACCCAGGAATAACAAACAAGGCCTCTGATTGGCCAGTTTTGGCTGACAGACGCAGAATATTTGTCAGCTATAGAATACTATGCTTTTGCACTTTTTCAATAATGACGCATACGTTATATTTACAAGTTAGGGCAGCTAAAATATTGTAGTGGATCTAACATGTTAAATATAACATTTTTTTTGATGCCCGTACAGGCGTAGGTACAGATTGTTTCTAGTGAGTTAGATGTTACAAAGTCTTAAAAGAAATGATTGTTCTCTATATAATTAAGAACTAAAGCTTTTAGCCACTAACTTCCGCCCGACAGTCTCCAGAATCCTGCGTACGGTGGGAAAAGGTGAAATTTTAAATGAGTCAGTATCGTGCTAATAAGTACGGATGCTTTCAAAACTAAATGCCTTTCAATTCAAATTCCAGAATATCCTTTCGCGGAAGTAGCCCTTCTCAGCCTGTCGGCCCATTCTGTAACGCTACAACTCTGAACAGTGATCGTCTCATGCGTTGCTCACGTATCGCGATAAAAAGAACGGTGTCATATAATCAAATGAACTTTTCTTATGCATAGAGCATTTGAAACCTCTCACCAAACGCCTCCCTTCCTTGTTTTCTACTGCTGCCTTTCACATACGTAGACAGACGTACCCAATGACCGTTCCCTCGACGTTCCTTATCGACTGCTTCACATTCAACGGCCATATCCCACCTGCGCTGAAAACCAATCGGAGGCACTTTCAATCGTCCCTTGAATAAAATTGCTACCTACACGCATTTAGAGGAGAACGAGGCCCAGAAAAGGCATGCATAAAACGATCGGTTTTGGCCTCCATGGAATAAGCCAGCAGGCAAGCAGGCATCGCCAGCAGGCATCGCGGGCAATGGGCATATTGAATACACGTGAAGGATTTTCTTTTCACGTGAAGTATTTTCCTACATTTTAAAGTACGCAGAGAGCCAGGAAGTTACGAACATGACCTTGGATGAACAGATTTTCAGGGGATTTGCCCTTCCTTTACTCTTTAGTCTAAACTAGGAAGGGCAAATCAGGGGTCTGAAGGAAGGCCTTTAGAATCTTCAACATGCATTAGATTCAGGAGTGGAGCTGACGAGTTGGCCCTACTCTTGCTACGCAATGCCCCCTACCCTTGCAAGCTGCAACAGCAACGCAATGCCTCTTTCCACTGCCCGCCGCTCTCGCAAATTGGTAACATGTCTGCTATCTGGTGTCAGGGCTGAGGCTGACGCCACGATTGGGCACGGCCGGAGACTGGGAAGTGGGAGCTGCAGAGCTGCTACATATACGGGACCGTCGGACGCCCAGTGCCCACTGAGTATGGTGGGACTGGGACCCCCGACCAATAAAAAAGCACCTACACCTGTCACCTTCTCCCTACTTTGAGCGACTGGAGCGCCCCAGAATACCGCCACTTTCTATCTATACCGCCGCCGTGGAGGAATCACATTCTGACGCCTGACGGTTTATGAACAGTTCCACGTCGGAATCGATGGGCCGCCATTCGCCAAGCCAACCGTCAAGGAACGGAGCCATTGACCGAGCCTGCAGAAGCTGACGGGAGAACACGGGAAACTTTTTCAAGAGCTCAAAGCAGACTGGCGATTTGCTGCCGGATTCAGAAAGGCGGTGTTGGATGCTGAGGGAGGACTGAGGACCCCGAAAAGTTTCTCCAAAGGGACAAAACTCCTCAGATTTCGATTCATTACGCACCCTTAAGCAGTTGAAATCAAACTTGTCATTCTTCGAATTGCTATTTTTTTCTAGAAAAAGGTAAATATTCGTAGATTTCGGGCGGTGAATTTCGGGCATCCTGGACGGATCGGCCAGTCGTGACCTTCTTCTAGAGGGGCGTAACTTTGTATACTTTTTGGGTAGGTGGTGCCCACTGCCCCTCCCATCTAAAACAATCTACCACCCTAACTGGCACGAGGGGCGCCATTACCCTTGAAAAAGTTATAATAAACGAAACGTCGGGTAATTTTTGTTGTAATATCTTGCATATTTATGAAACTACCACCCTAACACTCCCGTTTGCCCCCCCTCCCACCCCCACCCCAACCCAACCCAACTTTTGGTAGGCGCCTCAGGGCCTGAAACACGCACAGGGGCAAAGAAACCCACCGATTTATAAAGGCAACTTTCGAGCCTTATATCAACCTTGTTGTAAAAGCGACACACTTAGCTAATTAGGGTTCCCCTTTGGTACCTCAAAAACACCCTTGAAACCAAAGTTGACACCTCTCTGGACTCTGACTATAACTATTAACCGCTTATGTCTTATATCTTCTCTTTTGCTAATAATGGCGACCGACCCTCGCACGATAGGGCGGCGCCCAATCCGTGTATCAACGTGACCCTTGAGGTAGTTGAAGCGCCACTCTAGCCAATACCTATCTCTCACTGTTGCTATAGACCCTAGCCGCAGGCTATACCCCATGGGCTTTTGATGGCGCCCCTCGTGCCAGTTTTGGCGCCCCTCTGCACTGAGTAGCGAACAGTAGCCCCTAACGGTGCGACGTGCGCCTATACCGATTCTTTATTCGTGTTCCGTCTACGTATAGGCGGCTATTGCCGAACCCTGTAATCCGTAAGGAGGGGGGGGGGGGGGCGTTTCGGCCCTGCTAAGATCTTGTAGAGCTGCC